TCGGGGGCCCCCGGGCATGTCTGGGAACGCTCGGCGGCGGGCGGGGCTGACAGATCCCAGCCAGCCAGGCGCTGAGAGCCTCGAGGAAGCAGATAAGGACCCGCTCTGCCTCCCCGGTCCCCCCGCTGACGGCAGCACTGCTGGGCCCGCGCGGGACGGCGCAGAGACCCGGGGTGCGGAGCTGCAGCCTTCCACGGCCAGGCCCACCTCCCGCCTGAGCAGCCAGTGCAGGACACACGTCCCCAGGCTCACCCGGGCCCCCGCGACCCTCGGGCAGGCCCTGGGCTGCGTGCAAGGCCTGCTGACTTCCGGAAGGCGTGGGTCTTCCCTGACCTTTCCCTTCCTTACATATTTGTGTCCCAGCCACCTGGCGTGGGCTCTGGCTGGCCCCGGCCTCCAGCCACCACCGTCCGCCATGGACAGGCTTGGGGGGCCCCTGCCCACCCCTCCTGGCTGCTGTGGGAGAGGAGCCCCTGGGGCTGCTGTCCACGAAAGCAGAGCGGTGACCGAGGGCAGTGCCTGAGCCGGGCAGCGGCGAGCTTCCACCCGGCAGAGCCCTGCACAAGGGGCCCCGCAAACAGCGCGGCCGCCCGGTGTCCTTTACGACTTTCCCCCGGTGTGAAGAGTTGCCTGCGTTGCTTAGTCGTCACCCCGTCCATGTGAGCAGTGGAGGGCTGGGGAGGCGGGAAGGGGCAGGCGTCGCCCTCGGCCTTAGTGTGGGGCTGAGGTCTCCCTTCCCAGCCTGGGGGGGAGGGGGACGTCCCCGGGCACAGCCGTCTCTTTGGGCACTGCGGCCGAGGGGGCTCCCGTGGGAGCAGCTGGGTGTCCTGCTGGGAAGCCCCTGCCTCGCTCTCAGCTCTCAGCCCGCCGTCTGGGCTGCAGGCCGGGGCGCTCGCCCGCTGACGGGTCATCTGCCCAGGCCTGCAGCCAAGCCCCAGGGCCTCCCCAAGCCACCTGGCCAGGCCCATCTGTCCCACCTGCACCCGGGGGGCCCTCCTTACACGCCCCCCCGGGCCCCCTCAGCTGCCGAGATGCGTCATCCCGACCCTGACAGGTCCACTTGTCCGTCACTGGAAACGTGCCCAGAGCACACCCCCCCCCGCCCAGGGGCCCCCGTCCAACGGGCATCACCCCGAAACCTGGCCCGCCCAGCCCTCCCAGGAGCGCCTTCCTGGCTCCCACCTGTGATCCTCTTAGAAAAATACAAACCAGAAGCCAAGTATTGATCTCGGGATGCTCTGCCTGTTTCCTGATGAATAATTCACTTCAAAGCAGACCCGCTGCTTACAGTTAAGTTTTGAATTCCTCTGATCAAATATCCATCAAGCAAATGGATAGAAATACTTAATTTGACGGAGAACACGTGTCGTTACAACCCGCAAGCATGGCTTGTCCGCCGGCCCCACTGCCTCCCGGACGGCCTGCAGGGCGGGCGTGCCACCCGCTGTCACAGGCTGTCACCGGCTGTCACGGGCTCCAGACCCAGCGGGGCCGTTGGCTGAAGGAGGCCACGTCTGTGCACGATTCCCTACAGGGAGGGCGCCGGGGTCCAGGAGACACGCTGCGTCCACGCAGCCCGGCCCCACAACCAAGGAAAGGCGTGTTCTAGGCGCTCGCAGGCCTGGCCTGTGGAGCTGGAGGCGCCCCCCCCCCCCCCCCCCGCCCCCTGCCCACGGCACTCTGCCTCCAGCCTCAGGGACCGGACGTGGGCCCTCGCACCATTTTCACAAACCTAACACCGGGCGGGACCCACACCCAGGTCCTGACACACCTCCGCCCCCGGCCCCTCGGAGACCTTGGTGTCCACACGTGGCCTCGCCCTTCAGAGCGTCACAAGGCGGCTGTGTGTGTCCCACCCCAGGATCCCAGCGGCGTCTACGGGGGGCGGACTTGGAAACCCTCCCCTCGGTCTGCAAACCGACGTCAGGGGTCACTTGGGAAGGGCAGGCTGGGCTGTGACCCCACAAACAGGACAGGTGTCCCCTCCCCTCTCCCCTGTGCAGTAAGAGAAGACTCTTCTCACACAACCACGCGGCCGGAACAGCCACAACTGGGAAGTGGGAGCCGGGGGGGTGCGGGGGGGGCCTTCCCGTCCCTCTCCCGCGCTGCTGCCCTCCACAGGGTCACCGGCAGTGCATGGGGCTCTGTGCAGACCGGGCCACCAGAGCCCACCCAGGGGAACCTCTGTTTCTCGTTACTGCAGGCCACTTTTGCAAGAAGTCAGGGGAAAGAACGAGCAGATCTGTGGGCTCGCTCTTGCCTGGTGGCCGGAGAGGCCTTTCAAACCCCACGGAGGCACCATGTCGCTGAGGGTGAGCTGATGGCCCCTCCAGCCTCACCCCCCTTTCCACGTGCTGGGAACAGCTGATAACCAGACACGATTACGCTGGGGGGGATCTGCCCCTCCTGCTACAGGGGCTTCTTGTGGCTCAGAGGTGAACCCACACCTCCAGCGTGGCCCTCCGCCCTCAACCCCCTCCGCGCCGCCTCTGGCCACACCCACCACCCCAGCACAGCTGCTGCCCCTCCTGTCCGGAACATTCTCCCAGCTCGCCCGGCCAGGGCTCTGCTCCCACAGCCCCTGTGGCCACTCTCTCTGCCCTGCACCTGTTTACCTCTCCTTCAGTCCTGTGTTACGTGTGCCTTGGTTTCCCCACTTATCACCAGGACCCCCATGAGAACGGGATTTCAGGGTCCCCATCAGAGGACGGCGGGAGCACAGGGCCCAGCCGCCCGGCGCTGGGGCAGGAGGGGATGGCCCGAGAGCAAGGAACTGCTGGGCCGGGCCGGGTCCCACAGGGGCAGCCCCGGGCCCCGTGTCCGGCTGCCAGCTCTCCCGCCTGCGGCCGCCGCGCCCCATCCTGACCCTCCGCCGCCTGTCTGCGTCCCTGAGGAACACGGGCTCACCGTGCCCGGCGGGGGTCGCTGGGGGTCCTCTCAGCCTGCAGGGAGGGCACCCCCGGACCCGAGCGCCCACAGCGAGGGGACTGGGGGTCCGGCCCCGGCCAGGCAGGTGGGCTCCGCTTCATCTCAGGCGCCCGCACCCCACATACCCGAGGGTGCAACCCCAAAGCTCCGCCGTGTGCAGGGGGCCTCCAGACAAACAGGGCTGGCAAAGCTTGTGTCCTGCGGGGCAGCACAGACCCCGCGACACCGAGGTCCCGGCCGTGGGTCTCCCACCTCCTCGGCCGGCCACCCGTCTGCGCCTGCACCACCGTCCCCTTCCGGCCGATTGTCACATGAGCCGTGGGCTCAGCTGTACAGACATGAGTCTCTTTTGGGTCTGGGGTCCCCCAGGGCCCTCCCTGTCTCTGTTGTCCATGCATGGAGGCTTCAGCGTGCAGGGCGGGGGGGCTGCGAACCATGTGTCCGTCCCCGGGGAGACGGAGTCCCCGGTCGGGCCGCAGGTGCCGCCCGGGACCACCACTCAGCAACCCCGTTGGCTCCGCTGAGGTTCTGGCCGGAAGCCGTGGACAGAGAGGGGCCTGCGCCCGCAGGAGGAGGGGCGCTGCCCAGTCAGCCTGGACGAGGACGGGGGTGACGAGGGAGGGGGCCTGGCGGGCGGCTGGGAGCCAGACGACGCCCGGCAGAGCCGCCCATGGGCCGGACACGTCCCGACCCGGCCTCGGGAACCCGCGCTGCTGTCCGTTGCTGTAAATAGTTACCCGGTGAACACGACCACCTTCCGGAGGGAGACTAGCCGATGCCTGAGCCTGCGAGGCGCACACGCGCTGACCCAGAAATTCCATTTTTAGCTCTGCTTTCAGGGAACACCGCACACCGGGCTCCTGGTTGCGTGCAGGGGAAGGAGCCTGACCTCTACTGATGTAACACCCTCCCGACCGCCCCCAGGATCCTGTGGAGCCAGTCGTGGCACCACCTCACCCCTGCTGGCGGCTCTTCCCACGGCGCTGGGAGCGAGCACAGGCAGCCTCTGCCCCAGGCTCCCTGCGGCCGGGTCCTGGGCAGGACGGGGGTCTCACGGCGGCAGCAGGGGAGGGCGCACCCGCTGCTCCGAGTCGGGCTCGGGTCCCGGGCGCCCCTCCACTGGGTGGAGCGCAGCAGGACAAGGAAATTCGCCGTATTGAGACCATGCATGAGATCATCTGTGATTCTGACTTTTTTCTTCATATATCTCTGCATCTTCTAGATTTCCTACAATAAACATATATTTCTTTCCAGCAAAAACCCACAGGGTAGGGGCGCCTGGGTGGCTCAGTCGGTTAAGCGTCCAACTTTGGCTCGTCATGATCTCACGGTTCGTGGGTTCGAGCCCCACGTCGGGCTCTGTGCTGACAGCGCAGAGCCTGGAGCCTGTTTCAGTCTGTGACTCTCTCTCTCTCTGCCCCTCCCCTGCTCTCATACACATTCTCTCTCTCTCTCTCTCTCCCTCTCTCTCTCTCACACACACACACACACACGCATAAATACACTAAAAAAAAAAAGTTAAGAAAAGCCATAGGTAGACTTACACTTGCAGCCAAGATGCACCACAGGACCTAGATTCACCTTCCTGTCAGAAACAACCAGAACACAAAACACACAGAGCTGGGGTTTTCAAGGTGCTGGATATGAGGCGACAATGAGCTCCGTTGCCCACGAAATGGGAGGTAGACCAGGTGAGGCCACCAAGTTTCCAGGCTGTCCAGCAGCGAGAGGGACCCAGGGGACATCCTGAGCTGAGGGTGTGAGCATCCAGGGAGACGGTAGTGGCTGCAGTGCGCAGGGCGGCCGGGGGGAGGAGGGGGGAACGGAGCCACACAGGTGCCCTGATGAGCTCGCTGGATCCGCAGTTAGAAACCTCCCACAAGGAACACTCAGCCCAGAGGCTTCTCGGGGGTCCTAGCAGACGGGTGTGGAAGGACGGGTGGCAGTAGGTGCTTTCATAATATTGGATGAATTATTCCCAAGCCACTCTGTGAGGCCGGTGTCACCCTAATACAGAATCAGACAAGATACCACAAGAAAAAACATGCCACTATCTTTCATGAACACACATGAAAATTCTTAAAAGGTTTATTAAATTGAATCCAACAATAAGTTAAAAATTCTAATGCACCGTAACCAAGTGGGGTTGAGCCCAAGATCTCAAGGTCGGTTTACATTCAAATTCCCATCGACATAATTCACCATATTATCAGAGTAAAAGACAGACCACAGGATTATCTCAACAGACACAGAAAAAGCACTTGATAAAACCCAACATCCGTTCTGGTAAAAACCGGGCAAACCAAAATAGAAGGGGGCTTCCTCCACTTGGTAAAGGGCATCAACGAAAACCCGCAGCTGATGTTATTCTTACCGGTGAGATCGAACGCTTTCTCACAAGATCAGAAAGAAGACAGGGAGCTTATATAAGGTCCGGAAATAGAGCCACGCACAGACAACAGAGTTCTGACACAAAGGCAAAGGCAGTTCAGCAGAGAAAACAGTCTTTTTAACAAATGGCATAGGAAACTGGCTAGCCATGTCGGGGGAAAGGACATCGTCTGCCCCCGGCCCCTCAGACTAACAGTCACGCTTACAAGGGACGCCAGCGGACGAGAGTCCACATTGTACGTCCACGTGCAAAACCTAAGCTAGAAAACCCTGATGTAAGAAAACACGGAAGAAAATCTTTGCAACTTTGGGTGAGGCAAGGATTTCTTAGCTTCAAAACCGAAAGCATGGTCTGAGAAAGAACAAATCAATAAACCAGATTTCATCAAAATTTAAAACACCTGCTTTTTAAAAGACACGATGAAGAGAATTAAAAGCACAGACGCAGACCGGGGGAAAATACCTGCAATTGATGTGTCCGATGCGAGTCGTATCCCGAATATATAAAGAGCTCTGAAAGCTCAATAATCCGAAACCCACTCCTCTGAAAACAGGAGGATTTGAGAGACAATTCAGCGAGGACGGTGTATAGACAGTAATTCAGAACAGAAAGGGTGCTCACGGCCGCTAGTCATTAGGGAAATTAAGGCCCAGCGAGACTCCGCCACCCACCAACAGAAAGGCTGAAAATACAAGGACTGACAGCATCAGGCGCTGGCGGGGTGTGCAGCGTCCGTGCGCCGCGGGCGGGAATGCAAAGCGGCTCAGGCATCTTTAGAAACAGCTTCTTATAGAGCTGAACACACACCTTCATATGATGCAGCCACGTGACTCTCTGCTTCCACACAGACACGTGCACACGCGTCCACGGCGGTTTTGTTTGTGAAAAGCCCCAACGCCCACTGACAAGGGGGCGAACGCGCTGTGGACACCCTTGCCCGGGACCCCGGTCAGCAGTTACGGGGATGAAACACGGCCTCACACGGCAGCACGGATGCATCTCGCAGTGACGACGCGCCACACACGGATCCCGCCTGCGTAAGAGAAAACGCAAACTAATCCGCGGTGACGGGAAGTGGGTCAGCGGCTGCCTGGAGACGGGGGTCTGTGCAGAGGCGGAGGCCGGGTTTGCGGGCAGTACGGGGAGACCGGGAGACGGGGCGGTCACTGCCGTGGTCGCGGGGACGGCTCGAGGGGCACACACGTCACAGCCTGTCAAGCTGTGCGTAGTTTATCGAATATTAGCTTCATCAGGCTGTTTTTAAAATTCTGAATAATGACATCAATGCGACAGCAGAATAAGGACATCTGAAAAGCCTCTTACCCGTAAAAGCCATGGGAACACTGGCAAAAATGGTCACAATCAGCTTTCCCAGGCTTCTGGAAATCAACCAGACTTGCAATGTGGGACGTTGACCGAGAGAGACTGCGGGGTCTCGGCCAGACCGTGCTCCGTGGTATTTTCACCTGCCCGACGCCCACCGCCCGCCGTCTCCATGGCAGCCTGGCGGCCCCTGGAGGGGACAGAATGGAGCTGGGGCTCCCTCAAAGCCCCTCCCAGGGAAGTGTCCTGACCCGGCCTGTCCGGTGGTTTCCGCGAGACCCCGCTTGTCAGGCTCTTCCTCCGCCGTGACCTGCAGCTCTCCCGGCAGGCACGGCCGTTTCTCCGAGGGAGTTTGTTTAGAGAAAGACACGGGAGGCAGTTCAACACCGCGGCTGCCTGGGGCAGCAGGTGACGCCGGGCACGAGGAGTCCATGGGCGCATCTGAAAGGCTCCCACAGATTCCTAGGACTCCGGAAGGCCGTGCACACGCCTGGGGCTGCGCACGTGCTCCCTGGAGACTGGGGACCCCTGCCCGCTGGCCTCCGTGCCCGCTGCCCGGCTCAGCACTGGCGACACGCTGACACACACCGAGCCCCACGACTGCGGGACGCGCCGGTGCCTAGAATTGCGGAAGATCTCGCTCCGGTCCTTAGCTGACCACCAGGCTAGCTGAACAGACTTCTGCGGCTTGTGACAAAGCACACAGACTTCCCAGAATTCCTTCCTAAGTCACACAGCCACACACACACAGCCACAGAACTGTGGGGGGGGGGGTGATTTCCAGAGCTGCCACATCGTACCGTTGTAGATCTCCAGCTTTAAGACAACAGACACGCAGGCGGCAGAGAGGATGTCGCACACACCGCTCAACAGACTCGCCTCCGGGGCAGCCCGCACACTCACGTCCACGGCCGTAAACCAGCTGTTGTGAGTGTGTGCAGAGAACTGAAGGAAACCCTATCTAAAGAGCGAGAAGAACGTATGAGACCACGTGTCAGCAAACAGGGAAGGCCAGCAAGCAGACAAGTGCGGAGATCCCAGAAAATCCAACCCCTGAGGCAGCACAGGGGGCCGGGGGCCACTGCGTCTGGGGGATGAGGGCATGGGGGAGACGAGGGGAGGGCGGGGAGCACGGGGAGCACAGGAGAGCGGAGCCTCAGACACCCACACACACGCTGGCACAGAGTGAATCCCAGCAAAAGGGGAAGGTGCGAAGTGGACACAGAATATTTGAAAAAATAATGGCCAAAAACTTACAATTTTGATGAACACCATTAACTTACACGTTGTACAAGTTCAACAAACTCCAGGTTGGAAGGACGGGCCGCTTCTCCACCAGGCACACCCTAAGCGACCTGTGGAGAGTGAGACAGAGAGGCCCTGGCAGCCCGAGGGAGAGCGGGCGTGCCGTCGGGAGCCTCGGAGGCCACGTCCACGGGCGTCACTCAGGACTCTGCACTCAGCCTGTCCCTCAGAAATGAGGGTGAAATTAAGACACGTGAACGAAATAAATTTACAACGACTTACAAATACATAAAGTTCTTCAATGTTAACGACAGTAACAAGAATAAACACAACCTGAGCCAGCCTGCCCTCCCAGGAACAGTAAAGGGGGCCTGAAGAGACCCTGGACGGTCACGGGAATCGGCGTGAGGAAGGAGAGGAGGCGAGAGTAACCACAGAGGCGGAATCAAGCCTCTGCACACGTGTGTTTTCATCCATGGCCTCAGCCGGGTGTGAGCCAGGAGTGTGAAGACACGTGCACACAGGCGTGTGCGATGCTCGCTGCGAGGTATTCACACACTCCAAAGGCTTCAAGAGCCCGAGCGCCCGTCGCCTGAAGAGTGGATGGAATATGCTGGAATATTACCCAGCCGGGAAAAGGGGTGGGTAAACCTCAGAAACGTGATGCTGAGTGAAATAAGCCAGACAGAGATCACATTCTCTGTGATTCCATTCAAAGGAAAAGTCTGGAACAGGGAAATCCACAGACTCAGAACAAAGATTCCGGGCTGCTGGGGCTCAGGGGAGGAAGAGGGAAACAAGTGAGTGCTGATGGCTGCAGGCTTTCTGTTTGGGGAAAGGAAAGTTCCGGAACTAGACAGAGGTGATGTCTGCCCTAAAGTGTCCATGTACTAAATGGTGCTGAACTATACTCGAAAATGGTGAATTTCGAGATACGTGAATTAGATCTCAATGTTTAAACATTCTGTAAGAGAGGGTTTCATTCAAAGATGGTAACTATGCTAAAAAGGCTACAGCAACACCAGTCCATGTGGACCACGCTCTGTGGGCCCAGGGGTCGGGGGGACCGCTGTTGGAGACCAATCAGCTGTGCGGCCAGGCCTCAGGGAGGAGCTTCTGAACAGACCTGAACAAAGACCTTCTGGCAACTTCCATGGACATGGTCGCCAGATGCTCTCCTTCAGCCCTCAAGGCAGCCACACTGGAAACCGAGGTCCCGTGTGCCCACCTTCCGGACCGGGACCCACAGCCCAGCAGCACCCACAGCCCAGCGGGACCCCCAGCCCAGCAGCGGGACCCACAGCCCAGGGGGACCCACAGCCCAGGGGGACCCACAGCCCAGGGGGACCTCCAGCCCAGCAGCACCCACAGCCCAGCGGGACCCCCAGCTCAGCAGCGGGACCCAGGTGCGCAGTGGTCACCAGCTGCTGCTGTCAGTTCCAGAAAGTCAGGCGAAGGTGGGAGGTGAGATCCAACCTTGCCCCTGACCTTGTCCTCCACCCACCCCCGCTCCACCCGGAATCCCCCGGAACTACTTGGAACCACCCAGAATCACCCAAGCAAGCAGGAGTGACGCTCAGGTGGAACCCAGCCCCCCCGCAGAAGTGGTGCTCGGGTGACCCTGCAACACCCTCCCCGTGTCCCTGACAGGCCCCCACCCCGTGGGGGGCACAGGAGGGGCACCAGGCTGAGGGTTTCCCTCCCGCGTGCCCTCCGTGTGTCTCCCGCCCCTCTGACGAGGACGCGGCCTCAGGGCCCCGCCGGACGATCAGAGCCACCTCCTTACTAAAGTCCTTCATTTGCTCACAACTTTGGCCGCAGAGCGTGAGCGTCACAGATTCCGGAAGTCAGGACGTGAGCACGTGGCTGGCGAGCACTGCTCAGCCTGACACCCGGACTTCTGTACTTTCTAGCGGGATGACTACGCGGGAGGAGACCTCGCACTCCTGGACTGAGCCGCCCTCCCGGCCCCCACGTGGACTCTCGTGTCGGCCAGTCCCTCAGGCGCTTCGCAAGAGCACCGCCAGGCCCTGAGCAGGGCCCCGCGTGTCCCTCCTGCTCCCGGGAGCTCGGGCCCAGCGCCGGGACCGGGAAGGCAGCAAGGCGGCGGCGGCCCTGCCGCACGACACGCGGAGCCGACTGCCCGGGGGGCTCTCCCACCGGCGGGTGCCTCTCGTCATCAGGGCGGGAAGTCTCTCTGGGAAGATCCCCGGAATGAACCCTGGATTTGCACAAACGTGAAATTGATGCCCAGGGTTTTCCTGAAGAAACACCACCAGCCTGCCTGCTGGCCCACGGGGGCGCCCGGCTGCCGCCGACTCTCCATTCCAACCCTTGATTACAGCGGCATCGAGCCCCGCGGCCGGCTCTGCGCTGAGCAGGGAGCCTGCTTGGGACTCCCTCCCCCTCCCTCCCCCTCCCCCTCCCGTGCTTTCTCCCCCTCCCCCTCCCCCCGCCCATGTTCTCTCCCCACTCCCCTCCCCTCCCCCTCCCCCTCACACGCTGAACAGACAAGTAAAAACAACATGTCTGGAGAACCACAACCCGGAAGCCAGCCGGCTCCTGAGGGGACACGGCAGGGCTGGGGCTCAGGGCCCACGGGGGGCACCCGGAAGGAGCGGGGGGCAGGGAGAGACGGGCGCCCCGCCGTGGCCCACAGGCCCCACCTGAGCTCGCAGGCGGCGGCGGCAGGTCTGCGCCCGGGCTCACAGTCGGCCTTTCCTGCAGAGATGGGGGGGGGTCCCGTTCCCAGGTCAGGGCCCATGGCCTCGCGGTGGCCGTGCGCGCTGCCCCCTCCCCAGGCCCCCACGGCCCGCAGGTCCAGGTGAGCAGGACGCTGGGAGGTCCCGCTCTCTCTGCGCGACGCAGCCACGGCTGTGGGGGGAGCACGCGGACGAGGCCAGGGCCGCGACCAGGACCCTCCGAACCACGAGGCAGGTGCGGCCTCACCCGCCTGGCGTTGGAAGCACAGGCTGGGGGGGCAGAGGATCCAAGGCTCTGCGCTGACCACAGAGTTAGAGCGCGCGCGGCTTGCACCCACGAACCATGAGACCGTGGCCTGAGCCGGAGTCAGACGCTTAGCCGACCAGGGGCCCCGAAATCCGGCTTTCTAAAAGAAAAAAGCATTTGAGGTTTTCAGGGTGAAAGCGAGAGTTAACAGCACCCTCGCTTGGGGCAAAATAAACCAAACCCAGGACCTCACAGGAGACCCCAGGTGGCAGGTGAGCGCAGGCCGGCCGCTTCCGGGCCGCAAGGGCCCTTGTGCAGGTGAGAGGCTGAGCAGAGAAGGCTCCCAGAAGGAGGTGAGGGAGCCTTAAGGTTTCATGCTAAGCTCTCCACCCCACACACCTGCATTTCCTGGGCTGTTCTAAGCAGCGTTCTCAGATGGGCTCATAAGACGTGGATCCCGTGAGACGTCCCATGGAAATTAAAACACTGATTGGTTTGGGAATCCTGCCACCCTGCCCCCTCTGGAGGGTCAGATTTCATGCAGCCCATTAAAGGCTCTGATAAGTCCTGCTACAAGTTAACCTTCAACCTTGCCTGTCTCCCCAACTACTTTGGCCAAAGAACCCCCTTCCCATGTAATAGCTATTGTGCATCCAGAGCTTGTAAGGCTGACTCTGGGTGCGGTGGCTGCAGAGGGACGGCACAGAGGGACAGTCAGGCAGGACCTGGCCTCCGGACACGGGTTCCTTTGACTCCCTCTTGCATGCAGCGCTGTGCCTTGGGGACGCCCCTCAGCTCCAGGCTGGACAGCACCCCCTTTCCACCCGCGGAGGAGTTAAGCATAGCAAACGCCGAGCCCTGGGAGCAGCCTGGGGGGACAGTCGGAGGTGGAGACCCCCCCCCAGCAGCGCGGAGCACCAACCAGACAGATGCAGGAGGCAGGGGCATGCAGGCGGGCTGCCCGGAGAAGGTGACAGGGTGCGCGGCCCCGCCCCAGGCTCAGGGGACCCTGATGACGTGGCAGCTGTGAGGCCCCCCGGGCAGGCCCCACAGAGGACGCAGCTCTCCCCACAGACGGGGGCAGAGGGAATGGAGGGGCCCATGGCGGGGGGCCTGCGGTGCCCAGCAGGGGCCGCACCGTTGAGGGTCCTCCCGCCGCCTGGCCAGCCTCAGATCAGCAGCTCAGTCTCCACCCAGGCACCCCTGGAGCCCCAAGATGCCAGCAGCCAGAGCACCCCGAATCCTAGGAGGGTAACGGCCTGTTACGGGCTGAGGTGTGTCTCCTCGAAGCGCGTGCTGAAGTCCTGGCCCCGGGCCCCAGGACACGTGACTGCATTTGGAAACAGGGCCATTAAAGAGGTAATTAAGGTAAACGGAGGGCACTGGAGTGGCCCGGGTGCAATGTGGCCGGTGTCCCTGTGAGAGAGGGGATGAGGACGCCCACGAGCAGGCATGACCGCGTGAGGACAGGACAGCGTCCAGGAAAGGCCGCGGGAGGGGCCAGCCCGCCCGATGCAACGGGGACGTCCAGCCTCCCGGGGACACTGGCAGACTTGCACCCGCTGACCGGCCCGCGAGGGGAGTCCGTAGCGGCCGCCCCAGCGGAGGAGCCTCGGGCCCTGACTCGCCTCACGATGGACGGGAGACGCCCCCGAGCTGCTGTTTCTTGTCCCATTAGCTGCTTGGGGCTTTGCAGGGGGGGTGGAGGGGGCGGAGCCGCCGGCCGCGTCCCCAGGTGGCCCCTGGAGTCCCATGTCCGCGTCCCCCTTGTTCCCTCGGGAGGCAGCGTTGTGTGGACACGAGACCCAACACCGCCCCCGAGAAGCCCCCAGCCCCTTACACCACAGACCCGAGCCGCCCAGCCCTCGCAGATCAGGGAAACGGAGGCCAGAGAGCGAGGGAGCTCCCCACTCCTTCCAGAGTGACCGGCCCTCCCGAACTCCCCCTGCCCCGCAGCTCCCACCCCTACAGAGGCGGAGGGGACCAGGCCGGGGCAGCAGCAGGGACTGGCGACCCACGTCCTGGGAGGGCAAGAGGCCATCCGGGAGCCTTGAGAGGCGGGGACGGGGTCAGGCCCTGCCCTGCCTCACGGCCCCGTCTGGGGGGGCCCATCCGCCCCCGAGCAGTGGGGACCGGTGCCTGCAGGGGGAGGTGGGGGCCTGTGTGTGCAGAGCCCCCAGTTTGCAGAGCCTACCCGGGGCCCCTGGCTCATCTTTCCCGGCTCGGGGTGCCACCTGACTCCACGCAGGAGCGACACAGGCCCTGGGGGTCCAGGAAGAGCTGGACGGCAGGGGTGGGTGGTGGCCCCTCAGAACGGCAACTCGGGTGTGGGGGGCGGGAGGGCCAAGTCCACGGGGCAGCAAGCGCGGGCACGGAGCCTCCCTGCCCCCAGCAGCGCCGAGCTAAAGAAAAACTGGTTTTCCGTAGTGTCCCACGCAGGACACTCCCGGAGGCCGCCAGCCTTCCCCACCGAGGCCCGGCCCAGGGAGGAGGCCACAGACCCCCTTCCGAGGAGCAGGGCCGCCTCGCCCCCACACCAGGGCCTGGGCTCGGAGGGACGATGGCACACAGTCTCCTCTACGGAGCTGCTTCGGGGAACGAGGCCCAAGGCAGAGGCTGAGCCTCCGGGCGGGCAGAGCTCCGTCCCCACCGCAGCCTGCAGGGCCCGGGGCTCCATGAGGCCCAGGCTTGAAGGCTATTTCCAGCGTCATCTCACGCCCCTGCTCTTCCTTCCTCCCGCCCCAGAGCCCAGAGCCCAGCCCCACGTGCTCCTAGGCCTGGCCAGTCAGGCCCTAGGTGCCCACGCGACAGCCGGAGCGTGCAGGCTGCCACCCACAGGGCCTTTGCACATGCAGAGCTGCTCTCCTACACGGCAGCTGGTGGGCTCGGGCCCCCGCACCTGGGCAGCCTCCAGCAGCTTCTGTTCCCCTCCCTCCTGGGAGATGGGCTATTCCTGCTGCTT